TTTTACTTGATTAACTTAGTTTCAGCTTGACTGGCTAGTTGAGACTGATTCTCAGCCTATTGTGGATTCTCTTAATGTTTTAAGGGAAGACGGAAACATTGTAAAGAATAAAATATATTATCATATAAAACCTCTCACAGTACTATTCAGAAAGTCTTCCTTCAGTAGCAATGAAGAAAATAATAAGTTTTGTTTATGTTATATGTGTATGTTGCACATAGGGAAGACAAATGATAATGCCACTTTACAAATCTAGTGCTGACCAGCTACAGCAATCTTGCTACAGTTCAAAGTTATATTTTTATATTAAATCAACCAAGAGGGTATTTTTTCTCACAATTGCTCACTCCTCTCTCTTTTTCCCCCAGTAGCTTAAATCTAATAATAAATATGTATTTTTCTGGTCCTTCGCTTCCCTGCTGTTGTGGATTTGATTATGGTTGTAACCTGACCATTGACAAACTAAATGCCCACTGTAGACTCAAAAGTATATAAAGGAACAAATAATCTGAAGCCTGAAATGAGGGAAGTGCCTTAAATTATTCAAGGCAGTTGCTCTGCCTTTGTGGGATTTTCTTTGTTCTTTCTCTGTTTTTCACACTTTTTTTCCTCTATCTTTCTATGCAATAAAAATGAGATGCTCGCATAGCATGAGTAGTCAGGTTGCACAAACCTCCAAGAGACTGCCGTGAAGCCTCAATCTTTAATCCTCAGGGTTCCACATTAACTAATTCTTCCTTTTTGAAATAATTAAATATGTTCCCTTAAAAGATAAACAGGCCATCTCAGGTGGTACTTCACAAAACCTCCTGCCTTGGAAGCTGGAGAGAAGAAAAGCTTTTCTACATTGGCGGCAATTGTATAGGTATCTAGACTTTTATTTCATCCAAATATCCTCAAAGGCAGGCACAGTTCAAAATGACAAAAGAGCCACTTTTGATTAAGTTTTAGAAATACAAAATACATGTTGTTTACTTTTTAATGTGCATTATGAATCTCATTTTCTCTCATTTAATTTCTGTCATTTTCTTCCTCTATCTAATTTTCCATTCTGTAGCATTTTCCTCAGTCAGCAACACACTTCAGAATCCTCTTTCCTTCTGTTTCGCTCCCCATTCTTATCTCTTTATCGCTCAGGCATTTCTTTTAAGGCATTTCAAAATGAGTTTGAACACAGCTCCGGCTCCATACCTCTGTTCTTACAACATTGCCACAATCAGAAATCTGAGGTGAAGTAGTGTAATTAAAATGGCTGTGTAGCTAGGGAATGCCTTGTTTGCTTTGAGATTCATGGTTTCATCGGATGGAATTATTCTCCATCAGATGGAATTATTGCCTTACCACTCCTCCCAGCTCCTGTATCTCAGGTCCTTTAAGGGAAATGCTAGCTTGTTAGCTTTGCACACACACACCCATCAGAAGGCAGGCTAAACAGACAGACATGAAATGTCCTAATAGTTAGAGCAATCAAGCAATGGAATAGTTTTTCTTCAGAAGTTGTGAATGCTCCATCACTAGAGGCTTTCAAAAAGACAACCGTTTCTCTGAAATGGCATAAAATCTTCTGCTTGAGCAGAGGGTTGGACTAGAAGACCTTCAAGGTAACTTCCAAGTCTATTATTCTATGTTTTATGAAATTAACAAGAGGTTGGTGAATTTATTCCTTCTCTTCAGCAAGGGAGGTGGGATCCTAAGTGTCATACCATTCCTTCCTTTTGTGTGGAGTGGCAGGTAGTATTCTCTGTTGTTTTGGGACTTGTAGCCTCTCAAGTGGGTTCTCTTTGATTGATCTTAAGATGCTTTGAAGAGTAAAAATGGGGACAATAAGCTAGTGAATATATATATATATATATATATATATATATATATATATATATATATATATCCCTCTCTCTCCCCCTCTCTTTTTCCAATCTATATTCTCTCTCTGATCTGCTTTCCAATAGTTTTTGCTATTGCAGCTCTAGATTTCTTAATCTATTTCATTCCCCCTCAGCCTACGGTTGTGTCTCTCTATTTCAGTCACTTTAAGATGTGACTGAACTTCAACTTCAACTTCCAGAATTCCAAAATCTCAATTATACTAGTAAGTTAGCTTTTGCATTTTTATACTGGTTACTGTCACATCTTTGTTGATGGTAAAAGTACTTATTCTTCCCTTTTCACCACTGTAGGTGGCACCTAGAGAAGTTAAGATTTTTTTAAAAAAATCTGCTTCCTTTGAGTATTATTCCCAATTGGAAAGGGGCAAATATTTTCTTTTAGTTGAAATATGTGACCACTATGAACACAATGTCCTCTATTTGAGATGGAAAGATGCTTCTGTTTTTGGAACATATTTTAGGATTACAGCATCTTCTGGCAATCACAAGTTGCTTTTCTCTTTAACAGAAAGTCGGTTTAAGTTAAAGTAAAAACAAGTCCTTCTAAATGTCAACCAATCTGTGAAGTATGCCATAATCTCATGATTTTCTTTGATCGTTACTTGTCTGAAAATGTGTGCTATAGAAAATAGGAAAACAACAATATAAACTACAGAAGTAAACATTTTCCACTACCTTTACATTCTTCCATCTAACAACTAATAAAGAATTTGAAATACCCAATTAAAATTCTGTTGGTTGTAGCATTGCTTTAGCATCTTTAGCATCTTGTTATTTAATTTATCAAACTTGACATGGCGCATGCTAAATAGCTTCACTATCCCACAACTGACTCTTCCCCCAATATCCCAGTTTACACAATTAATAGCAGATAGAGACAGCACTTTTGAACATATATATCCCTATATAAATACTTTTATATGTATATTATTAGGTGTGGACCTACCACATGAACTACTCTATGTAGCTTTTCACCTGCCAGTAAAAGTACTAACCAAGTAGGACATCTTTCTGTTGTTGATCTCATCAGTGATTACATTCTTAGCTTTCAATGCATCCAGCATCTGTTCATAAAGTATAATCAATGATTGCAATCAATGAGACTTAAGCACACGGTTTAAATACTTAAATGTCATTGATTTCATGAGGATTTAAATATGGCTAATTTTCTTTGGATTGGATAATTTTTGAGGATAATTTTATCCTCAAAAGGAAATAATTCCATTTCCTTTTGAGGATAAAATTATGCCTCTGTAATTCATTTAGCTGGTATAAACAGTTCATTACATGTTCTTGTTATTTTCAGATTTGGAAACAGCTTTGCTATAGCTAGTTCACTGTTTTCCATCCTTCATGTACAGGAAATATGGCATGTTATGATTGGAAGTAAAGGATGGGTTTTGTTTTGTTTTTTAGTTTTTTAGTTATTGTTATTGGTCTGAACCTTAGCAACCATAACAAAGATTTATCATTTGGGGTCTTAGTAAGAACATTCCTGGCACTGATATGCAGAAACTCAACAAACTCCTCACAAGGTAACTGATTCACATTTAAGATTTTTCTTTCATGAAAAGCACCAAATTATTAGTAGTTATTTTTACTGACATGTATGGGAGAACATGTTTGCATGGTCTTTTTTTATATCTCAAGGAACAATATAACTGAGCTGGATTTGTGTCCCTCTGTGGGGGCACCCGCCCTCTGGAATGAGCTACCCCCAGGGATACGACTGATCCCGGACCTCCATACCTTCTGCCGGGCTCTGAAGACTTTTTTATTTCAACAAGCCGGGCTGGGTTAAAAATCTTTTAATTGCTGAATTTTATGGGTAAGGGGTTTTAAATTGGGGAAGCCAATATAAATTTAATTTTGTTTTTATAGTATTTTAATGTTTATATTATATGTTTTTTAATTTTGGCTGTTTACCACCCCGAGTCCTTTGGGACAGGGGGCGGTATAAAAATTTTAAAAATAAATAAATAAATAAATAAATAAATAAATAAATAAATAAATAAATAAATAAATAAATAATTTAGCTACTTCAGCAAGTTACAAGCCTTTTTTGAAGTATGAAAATGTTTGTGCCATAAAGGTAAAGGTAAAGGTTCTTCCGCACATGTGTGCTAGTCGTTTCTGGTTCTAAGGGCGGTGCTCATCTCCATTTGACACCACTGTACAGGGTCTTATTACAGGTGGGGATGAAACAGCATACAGGGGGGAGGTTCAAAAACTATCCACATGGTGCTTAAAAAACAACCTGCACCTGAACATCAGTAAGACCAAGGAGATGGTGTTGGGCTTCCAGAGGAAGAGAGAGGAACCTGCCCCACTTTACATCGAGTGGGGCTGTGTAGAGAGAGTTTTCTCCTTTAAATTCCTGGGAGTCCATCTCAGCGAAGATCTCACCTGGAAAAACAACATGATCCAGAAAGGCCCAACAGAGACTCCATTTCCTTATGGTCTTGTGTTAAAAACAGGGTGGAACAATAACTGATGACCTCCTTTTACCAGTCCACAATAGAAAGCGTCCTCACTTATTGCATCACAGTATGACATGCCAATCTGACATTACAGAAGGTGGTGAGCACATCAGAAAACATTGTGGGTTGTCCCCTGATACCACTAGATGAGATCACTAGGGCTCGCTGCCTTAGAAGAGTGAGGAAAATTCTCAGGGATGACTCTCACCCTGGTCACCACTTCTTTACCCTTCTACCATCGGGAAGGAGATATAGAAGTATAGCCAGCTGCACTGTTGTGACCTAGGCTTCCTGAGTCATTAAAACACACGAGTAGTCCTAAAAATCTCTTTTATTGCAACAGCTGTGAATTACGTTCATTCACAGCTGAGTCCCAATTAGTTGCAAAAAATCTTTCGGGAGAAGTCCTTTGGGATAATCACCAAGCTTTATTTCCCTTGACACTCTGTCAAAGACCTACTTGGCAAAGCCACACGGATTCCAGAATTAACAGAGATGCTGACTGGAACAGAATTAACAACATTGTTTTCCTGCAAAGTGCCCACGTGCCTTTGCTCCTCTTTTAAGCCTTATGGGAGGCGCCAATCATCTCCAGACCTTACTCTTGAGTTATCCCTTTTGTTTTAACTGTTCATACCTTCTGGCAGCTCTGCGCATGTGCACACTACGAACAGGCTCCTCTTGTTCCTCTGCCTCTCTGTTGTCCGACTCTGGAGGCTCCGGAGTCTGCACATCACTCCCAGATGGCCCTGGCCCCATCTCTGCCTCCGACGCAGAGCCCTCGTCCAGGCCTTCCCCAGACTCCAGGACTGGCCCATGTTCCTCCTCAGCCTCCTCACTGTCCGACTCCGCTGCCAGCTCCGCAGGCTGCTGGCAAACCACAACACACACAAATAAGCTGAAGAACTGTTTTTATCCAGGGCTGTCAGACTCCTGAATGAGAAATAACATCATAACTATGTAGTATGATGGACTGCAGGGCCGGCGCAATGTGTAACATGTTCACACTGGTGCAATAGGACTGGGTGTTTTGTTAATATGATTTATTGGGTTAGGGATTTTTTGTCTTCACTGTGAGTTGTATTGTGTTGGGGGGGGGGGTGCACTGAGGGAGTTCAACCAATCTCATTGTACATAATTGTGCACTGACAATAAAGATTTGAATTTCTAAGCCGAAGAGCCCATACTGTCTGAAGATGTCTCTGTGGTCATGTGGTTTGTGATCTACATGACTAAATGCCGAAGGTGCACAGAGGGCTATTACCTTCCCACAAAAATGGTACCTATTTTTCTACTTGCATTTTTTACATGCTTTCTAACTGCTAGGTTGGCAGAAGCTGGGACAACTAATGGGAGCTCACTCCATTACATGGCACTAGAGATTCAAACCGCTAAACTGTTGACCTTCTGATCAACAAGCTCAGTGTCTTAGCCATTGAGCCATCACATCCCTTATTAGTGCCATATTACCTTGCTGAAAACATGATCTTCCATACATGGAGTGTTTTGGCGCTTTGACCAAAAAAGATTTTATTAGATTCCTAGTACCCATCTATTTTCAGATAGCTGGGAGGATCGAGAAGAAACTCCAAATCCAGAAGAGAAGGTATGAGCAAACTCATAAAGAAATTAAAGTTCCTAGAGTTTCCAGAAATCATACAGTGACATAAGTATGTCATATGGTCTCTGACTTCAGATTTTCTTTACATTTTCCCCTTCAGATTTTCCCCTATATTTTCTTTTCAAGAGTGTCCTCCTTTCTTTCTAAAATTCAAATAACAGTTTAGCCTTGATTTGTTCCTTGATTTGACACCACAAATGACAGCCCAAAATATATATGTCACATTCAGAGAGTTTCAAAGGGTCAGAGCATGAAGAACATTATATACTCAGTGTTCAAATTCAGAATTGCCTGGGCATCATCCTGTAGCTATTGGAAGGTCATTCAGAGAAATGCAGAAAGACATAAAGAAAAAAACAGTCGATGAATTTCAAAACGTTTGCCAATCATTTATAACCCTTCTATTTATATCTTGTTTTTCTACAATTTATATGCAGAGTTTCTTACCTTATGAAATATATCAAATGTAAGTACAGTTATAACTATGCAACAACCTCAAAAACCAAAAACCAAATCTGCAGTCTTTCAAGGAGGCATAAAGTGAAAGTAATAAAGTTTTTTAATTAACCTGGCATCTGTTGGAAGATGAACTCTGCCAAGCATGATCCTGATTTGCTTTGCTGACATCTTTCTCCTATCAGAGGTGGAAGAAGACACAAAAAGATCCTTGACCTGAATCTAACTAGGAAACATTTAGTGAAGGAGTTGAATGTAACAAAAACATTGCAGGGGAAATAGCCATCCCCTGGAGCTTTCAGTAATAAAAGCGCTATTGTCATTCCTGATTTTAAATGATTGCTAGAAAATTTCTCCTTCTCTTGGAAAGGTTTGCAAAAACTTACACACCCACTTACTTTGTGCACAACATTTGCTAGTGCTTTTAAAAGGCAATTTGTATAGCCAACTGCTATAAAAGCATTCCTCATGACTTAATTTTATATACAAATTCCTATATCCTGTATCATGTTGTTGGAAGAAATGTGGGTTCAGTTCCAAGTGGGGAAAAAGACACTGGAAACATGGAGACTGCTTGGAAAGATGGTTTAATGGTGGACAGGAATCACATGGCTTGAGTTCCTGTACAGAAAAGGCGATCACATGCTTCAAGATGTTGGGTGAAGAAGAAAGGGAGAAAAGGGCCAAGATGCTGAGAGTGCCTTGGTTTTATGCTCTCTGTTATGCCCCACCTCAGAGTTTCCTGTTCCTGTAGAAGAAATGTATCCTGATTGGTTGTGAGACTCCCAGGGGGCGGGGGTCTTAGCTAACTTTGTAGGTTGTCTCCCAAGCTTGCTTGAGCCTTGCCATGTGATGGGTTTCTGTTGCTAGTGAGTTTCTGTTGCTAGATGGGTCTTTTTGTGTTGCAGATGATGGTCCATTGACAAAGATGGGGGGAAATGAGTGAGCTTGTCTGAGGCCTTAATGGCCCATTGACAAAGTTGGAGGAAATGAGTTTCTGCCTCTGGCCCATTGACAAAGGTGGGGGTAGGCAGGAAGCTGCTTTGTCTTTAAAACATGTTTCTCCATTTCTCATCCAGGGAAATATAATATCCTGCCTTTTTAATATTTTCTAAAATATTTCATTCTTCTAGGAGAGGGGTGAGTGCTAACTTCCTACAATGTATTTACCCATCAATCAGAGTAGAGCTGGAAGGCACCTTTGAGGTCTTCTAGTCCAATTTCCTGCTCAAGCAGGAGAGCCTGTAACATTTCACACAGGTGATTGTCCAGTCTCTTAAAAACTTCCAGTGATGAAGCACCCATAACTTCTAAATGCAAGCTGTTGCACTGGTTAATTGTTCACACTGTTTCTCCTTAATTCCAGATTGCTTCTCTCCTTGATTAATTTCCATTCATTGTTTCTTATTCCTGCCCTCTGGTGCTTTGAAAATAAGTTGACCCCATCCTCTTTGTGGCAACCTCTCAAATACTGGAATACTGCTATCATGTTCCCCCAGTCCTTCTTTTCTCTAGACTAGCCAAAACCAATTTCTGCAATCATTCTTCATATGTTATAGTCTCCAGACCTTTAATCATCTTAGTTGCTCTTCTTTGCACTTTTTCCAAAGTCTCAACATATTTTTTTATAATGTGGTGAACAAAACTGGATGCAGTATTCCAGGTGTGGCCTTACTAAGGCTTTATAAAGTGGTACTAATACTTTATGTGATTTTGATTCCATGACTCTGTTTATACAACCAAAGATTGTATTAGCTTTTTTGGCTGCTGCCACACACTGCTGGCTCAATCATCCACTAAAACTCCAAGGTCCCTATCACAGTTATTGTTTTGAGCCACATTTCGCCTCATCTGTACTTGTAACTTTGGTTTTTCCTGCCTAAGTGTAAAACCTTGCTTTTCTGCACATTGAATTTCATTTTGTTAGACAGGGCCCATTGTTTAAGTCTGTCACAATAATTTTGGTTCCTGAGCTTGTCTTCTGGGGTGTTGGCTATTCCTGCCAGCTTAGTGTCATCTGCAATTTTGATGAAGTCCCCTTCATCTAAGTCTTTAATGAAGATATTGAAGAGTACTGTGCTTAACATGGAACCTTGTGGTACCCCACTGCTTATTTCCTTCCATGTAGATCCGGTACCATTAAGGACAATTTGTTGAGTATGGTTTGTCAGCCAGCTACAAATCCATCTGGTGGTGATGTTGTCTATCCCACATTTTTTTTGCTTACCAAGAAGTAGCTTGTGCTCTACATTGTTTTTTGCCAAATCATTTTTTTATTTTTATTTTTTTAAAAAAAGAAAAATAGAACATACAAACATCATTCGTTCAATCAAGTACAGACAGTACATCAGTCGGTTTGCATCCCTAGCGCCCTCTCCTCTCTTCACAATATCACTACATATCCAAAACTTATTCTTATGTAAAATATATCAGTGTGCTCTACATTGTTGAATGCCTTGCTGAAGATTAAGTATAATATGTCCACAACATTTTGCTGTGGTACTAATTTAGTCACTTTGTCAAAAAATGAAATAAGATTGATTTGGCAAGATCTGTTTTTAACAAACCCATGCTGGTTTTTAGTTATAATTTTAATTGTTTCTAGATGTTCACAGTTAATAAATAATAATAATAATAATAATAATAATAATAATAATAATAATAATAAATCTTTTCCAGTATCTTCCCAAGTATTGATTAAGCTGATTGGTCTGCATTTTCCTAGGGCCATTTTTTCTTCCTTTTTTGAAGATGGGCACCACATCAGCTCTTTTCCAATCTTCAGTTCATGCCATTCTTAAAAAAGATGTTCTTTTTGATCACTGCATTACTGTATTTTAAAAGTTGAAGCTCTAAAGTCTAAACTGTCTGTTTTATACTTCTATTTGAACACTAAAAGCTTATCTAATTGATGATAACCTTTGGATTTCACATTTAGTTTATTCCAGGCACTCACATCAGAAGACATAATCTAAAGTCCTCTCTACTAAAACTCCTAAGAACATGTTCATGAAAGAGAATGTGAGATCTGAGTATAGCCTTCAAAATAGATTAAAGGATGAAATGACAATTTAATGTTCCTGAGAGAAAAACAGCAAAAATCTTAGTATGTGAGAGTTCAAAACTAGTACAAAGGAGGATTCTTAGATATAATTTTCAGTATAAATAGAGGCTGGATAGCCAAGAAGGCTGTATACTCTGAGACAAACTGAAATTTGTATTGCTCACTTGAGATGCTGTTAGAACTAATGTGGTATAGAGATTAAGATTTTGTGTTCAAGTGTATTCTTGACTATGCAAGTTCCTTTGACCATTTGTTATCTCTCAGCCCAAACTATCTAAAGGCACTGTTATTGTGAGAAAAATGTGGAGTGTCATATTTGTCACCATGCATTTTTGAAAGAAAGGCAGAATATAAATCTAACAAATAAATTACATTAGCTATCCAACTTCTTACAAAGATGATGCTGGTGGATACTCTTTTGGGTACTGAACTCTACTGGTGAAATTTTCTTCCTTGGCTGTTTAAACTGCTTTATTATGCATTGATCATCTCTTAAAAGATCTGATGGTTCTCCCAGGTCTTGGCCTAGTATTAATGGAGCTCTTCTGGGATGTGTTTTGTGTGTTACTGTTGGACTACCGGCTTGTTCTTGTTCTTCTTTTAAATGTTCTTTATTTTGTTTCTGATTTATGATATTATCTTTTTCTTGTTATGTTGCGAGCTGCCCAGCATGGGCATGGAGTGGGCTGGTA